GCAAAGCACAGCTGGAAGTTAACAGAACTACAGGAGGCTTCCGCTAGGTTATATACCGTTACATATTGATGGCACACTGTCCCTGACAAGGCAATTTTACTTGCACTCTTAGGACCTAAACTGGAAGGTACATATTAGTTCCAGTATATACAACTACTTCTGACACAAGGCCAGATATATTTGTGGCCCCAAATAGAAACTTTTGGTGTGTCATTCAATTCCATATTGGAACATTCCAATTTTGGTCCTATTTTATTTATTGTTAATTGCCTTACATGTGTTACAGGGACTCTGTTACTTATTGTATTTTGCACTATTTGACCTCTGAAGAAGGCTCTCTCATATATTGTCTTTTTTTGTGTGTATTTGTAACTTTGAACATTTTATGAGACTTTATTTGGGCCCCTACTATGTTTTTATGTCTTCATAATAAACACTCTTTTGTACACTTAGCTTTTGGCTCTCAATAAGTTTTCTAAACATTCTTTGGAGGTTTGTGCTTTGTTGGTTTAGATTTTCTCCTCTCTTTTGGGGGGGCTTCTGCTAGCTAGCCTGGGTTTCTCCAAGTATTCAGTGCGGCTTATTTATTTACATTTATTTGTCACATATGGAAGAACATAGTCACTAGATGGCTGCTACAGGATTTTGGTGCTGGAGGAGAGTTTTGGGGATACCGTGGACCTCCCAAAAGACAAAGAAGTGGTTTCTAGATCAAATCAAGCCTGAATTCTCCATAAAATGACTAAACTCAGGCTATCGTTCTTTGGTCACATCATGAGAAGATAAGACTCGCTGGAAAAGACCATAATGCTAGAAGAAGTTGAAGACAACAGGAAAAGAAGAAGACCCAACAGGAGATAGACTAACCCCAGCAAGAAAGCCACGGCCCTCAGTTTGCACGACCCAAGCAAGACTATTAACAATAAGACTTCTGGAGGTCATTAATTTATAGGGTCACCGTAAGTTGGAAGCAACCTGACCATATTTAATGCATTCACAGGTTTTAGAAAGTCCCCCCCCCGTTTCTGGATTGCTCATTTTCTCTGATTCTTCTCATTGTTCTTGCACTTCTCCAGCATTGGACAGAGCTCTTGAGAACACAGCCTTGTACTGAAGGAGGAAAAGCCAATCAGTGGTTTGAGTAGAATATCTGGGTTGGAAACAATAGAATATCTGGGTGGGAATATATGCAGATTCAACAAGCGCATGAGTTGTTAATAGAACACAGTAGCTGCAAAAGAAACTACTGTATTCTGAGGGAAGTTTACACCACCCAAATGACTAAAACACCACAGACCAAAAACAACAGAGGCCACACACAAATTTCCCTGAAAGACACAGAGCAGATTAATCTCAGTGAACTATCAGACCGCACAAAAATAAGTAAAAATCCGTTGACAATTTATAAGGAGTAGGCCTGCCAGTGTTAAAATCTCACCTGCACCTTCCACCACGCCCCTCTCTTCTGGGGGCTCTGTGCTCTCCCTTCCCTCGCAGATGCCCTGTCCATCGGGACACTGTCCGGGGCAAATTTCAGAATGCCAGGTACGAGAATTGGGAAGTGTCTCCTGATCCACAGCTCCTTCATGAGTCGAGGTTGAATGTGCGTTCTGTCCTTCTATTTTGACAGTGTTAACAGAGTCTGCAGAACGAGGAGATCTAACAGAAGGCTGTGAGTCCACTGCAACTTTGGCATCGAGCACCATGGCCTGGGAAGAGTTAGACATAGCAGTGCTTTCACTGGATACGCCGACTGTCTGAACGGAGAAGTCCCTCCGCGTGTGGTCTTGATTTGAGCGGCTTAGGAGGTCCCTGAGGAGGGCTTTGCAGCTGACGGCCACGTCAAACATCTGCAGATTGTCCGCCACAGAGATTAGCTTGGTGAAATTGTGCTTCCCAAGGGGCAGTCTGCCCGTATAGATCATCTCTAGCAGCAGGGCAAAGTCATCCGGGGCCACCACGGATGCATCAATAGAGATAGTATCCGTACTCTCCAGCAGGGACTTCAACAACAGACTGGCTGCTGCTAGCACAAGCTTGTGTGCTCGGAAATGGGATTCCCCGACCAAGATGCTACAGTCGCAGAATTGCTGTTCCTTGCAGAAAGCGTACAGCTGTCGAAGCAGTTGCTGGCTGTAGTTTGGAAGCTCCATGGTGGCCGGCTGGAAGTCTTCTTCCTTCTTCACATCGTTTCAGACAAATCCTGCTAAAGACACATGAAGGAAGCAGTGAGTGGACTATTCACATAAAGTATAGCGCTGATCACGTTTTACACTTTTCCCCACAAGCACAAGCAAATCAAACAGCGTTAGGATGCTTCTTTACAATTTATATAGGAACTGCTTCCCTCCCTGTACTGTCCAGACTATACACAACAGAAAGATATGCAATGAAGAGAAAAATGACAGTTAATGATGCAAGGATCCTGTTAGATCTTGTAAATAATACCTCCATGTTGGTCAGTCTTTATTGCTCTCAGTGACACAGATATAAAACACATCTCATCTCAGTCACACAAATATAAAACACATCTCGCAGCTACTCCCACTTCGGACTCCTCACTTATATACAATCCTCTTAAAGAAATGTACACCACATCTCCCCCTTTTCTCAATCCATAACATAGTCCTTCATCCAGTGAGGTGGTTGTCCCACTCTTCCTTTCCTCTCCATTGCTACAGCTGATGGTACCTCTTGGGATAATGCTAATGGTGGTGATAATGTCTCTCGAGACTTAACTGAAGGTCCCAACTGACGACTTAGATTGAACAGGCCGAACATCATTTTTAGACACTGGTAACAAAGGAAATCATCTAATTCAAAACTCATTTCACTCCCACTAGAATACACTGGTACCAAACAAGAAGCAGTCTATACATGACCATCTGATAATCCATAAGTATATGGTCCTTTCCTTTACACAATCTTACGAGGCAAAGTAAACTTACATTCCCCATTTTGCAAAATCCTAGGTCTTCTTATTCTAACAAATGAACCACATTCTAATTTAACATACTTAGCACTGCTACATTTATCTGTTGTTGTTCAATCGCACAGTCAAGTCTGACTCTTCGCGACCCCATGGACCATCTGCCGCCAGGCACACCTGTCTTCCGCCGTCCTCTGAAGTTGGCTCAATTTCATGTTCGTTGCATCGATGACACTGTCTAACCATCTCATCCTTTGCCGTCCCCGTCTTCTTTGACCTTCAATCTTTCCCAGCATCAGGGTCTTTTCCAGTGAGTGCTCCCTTCTCATTTGGTGGCCAAAGTATTTGAGCTTCAGTTTCATTATCTGGCCTTCCAGGGAACAGTCAGGGTTGATTTCTTTGAGGATTGACTGATTTGTTCTTCTTGCAGTCCAAGGGACTCTCAAGAGTCTTCTCCAGCATTCTATACATGACCATATGATAATCTATAAGTATATGGTCCTTTCCTTTACACAATCTTACGAGGCAAAATAAATTTACATTCCCCATTTTGCAAAACCCTAGGTCTTCTTAGTCTAACAAATGAACCACATTCTAATTTAACATCCTTAGCACTGCTACATCTATCTACATAAGCCCTATACTTCTCAGAGAGCCAGTTTGGTGTAGTGGTTTAGTGCGTGGACTCTAATCTGGGAAAACTGGGTTTGATTCCCCACTCCTCCATTTGCAGCTGCTGGATGACCTTGGGTAAGCCATAGTTCTGTCAGAGCTGCTGTCTCAAGGACAGTTCTGGAAAGAACTCTCTCAGCTCCACCTACCTCACAGGGTGTCTGTTGTGGGGAGGGGAAGGGAAAGGAGTTTGTAAGCCACTCTGAGACTTTGAGTGAAGGGGGGGGTATAAATCCAATCTCTTCTTTTCTTCTTGCTTCTGAACCACTCTTTTTCTCATTTCAGAATCTGACAATACATCAGCCCTTGCCTTTAAGATTGCAGTAACATTTAACTTAGTGTGCATCTCTCTCCCATGCAATAATTCTGCCAGAGATCTTTGCATTGTAGCATGCCTTGTTGCCCTATATGCTTGCAAAAAAATTGGTTGTAAAAACAATCCATGCCTTTCTTTCCAATGTAGCTGTTTGAAAGCTATCTTTCAAACTTCTATTAAACCGTTCAATTTCCCCATTAGCTTGCAGATAATACACCGACGACCTCCTATGTGTAGTATTTCCCTCTGCAAGAAAAGTTTCAAATTGGGCACCATTATCAAAGAGCAACTCTTTAGGATCCCCTTTCCTACTGAAAACTATAGTCAAAAACTTAATCACACCAGTAGATGTGGCTTGTGACGTAAATGTGATCTCTGGCCATTTGCTAAAGTAATCTAAGAGAGCAACTCTTTAGATCCCCTTTCCTACTGAAAACTACAGTCAAAAACTTAATCACACCAGCAGATGTGGCTTGTGACGCAAATGCGATCTCTGGCCATTTGCTAAAGTAATCTATTAATGTAATAGCATAATGACATTCAACAGAAGCAGTCTCAAAAGGTCCCACCATATCAATGGCAACCTTTTCCCAAGCAGAATGTGGGAATGCGACTGGCTATAATGGTGCTGGGTGTGTTACCGCTGCAAGTGACACAAGTCTTAATAGCTACTTCCACTTGGGAATCCACCCCAGGCCACCAATACAAGTCCTGCAATCATTTAGTGCATAAAATTCCCCGTTGTGTATCATGGGCCAGAGATATAAACATAGGCCCCAATTCCTCTGGGACAAGCAACTGGTGTGTACCTCATAAGATGGAGCCATTTTATAATGAAAGCTCATTAAAAGGTAAAGGTAAAGGTTCCGTAGGCACCAATTCCTTTGGGATAAGCAACTGGTGTGTACCTCATAAGATAGAGCCAGTTTATAATGAAAGCTCCTTAGAAGGTAAGGGTTCCCTTGCTCGAAAGCCAGTTGAATCCGACTCTAGGGTTGCGGTGCTCATCTCCGTTTCAAAGCCGAAGACCCAGCGCTGTCCAGAGACATTTCCATGGTCATGTGGCCGGCATGACTAAACACCAAGACGCACGGAATGCTGTTACCTTCCCACTGAAGTGGTACCTATTTATCTACTTACAATTTCTTGCTTTCGAACTGCTAGGTTGGCAGGAGCTGGAACTAGAGACGGGAGCTCACTCCGTCATGCGGCACACTCGGGTCTCATTACGTACTCTAAAATAAGGCAATAGCTCTGGCTTAATTCCTCTTTCCTTATTAGGTCATTTATTCACCAAAAATCCTTTTACTTTCTGCTGGATTGGGCATGCTAAACATGCAGCTTGAAATTTCTCCTGTGTAACCGCAACTGGAATACTTCAAAGCAGTACAACCACTTCTGCATCCTCTTCTGGCAATACGCCTGAGGGTGGCAAGGGCAGCCAGGACAAACAATCAGCTGTTACCTTTTCTACTCCTGGTTTATATTCCATCTCATAGGTAAAACGGAGCAATTGTGCTGACCACCTCGCAATGCGATCCCCTGCCCTTCCCAATCCTTTTGATGTCAGTTATGTTATCAGGGGACTTACTACCTTTCCATAGGGCTTGTAAGGCAGAGACATTCTGCCAGGCCTTTGGTTGAGAATAGCGACAGTCTAACACTCTCATACTCCAACCTCCCCTTTTAGTCCTACGTATCCCCTCCACCCAGGGGGCTGGTGGAAATTATCATCATCTTGGATTTAGTACTGTTTATAATGCTGTTTTAATCCAATTATATTGTATTTACCTTTGATGTAAGCCACCCTAGGCCCTGTTTGAAGGGAAGGGCAGCCGATAAATTGAAGATAATAAATGAATGATTGTCTATGTTTATACTTGTTGTACCCCATTCTGAACCCGCTATGCAGGAAGAGCGCGCTTGAAACGGAATTAAATAAATAAATAAATATCCCAGAGCTTTCTGCTCTGCTTTTTAAACAGCAGAAAAGAGCCAGTAGCACCTTAATAAAGACTAACAAAATTTGTGGCAGTGTACGGCCTGTCCTGAATCACTGCTTACTTATTTTTAAAGAAATAAATAGTAGTGTTCAGGCACTGTGCTAGAGTTGCCAGCTCTGGATTGGGAAATAACTGGAGAATTTTTTTTGTGGGGGGAGCCTGGAGAGCGCCACCGGCAGCATTTGGATCCCTTCCCCAGCTTGCGCAGCCCTTCTGGTCTATTACTGCCCAATTCGGCCAGTTTCAGGGAAGCCTGTTATGAACTCACAGCATGGCCCTCTCGGTCTCCCTTACTGCGACACGAAGTACTCAAATTGGCCTGCTTTGCAGGGTTGTTGTATGACCACCACAGCAGCGCGGAGAGCTTAAGCCACTCCCTCCCACAGAGACTATTACCCTGCTTACCTGGGAGGACGACAGAATCCGATCTCGTCGGGTCTAACAAAAAGCGGCCCTTCGGAGGCTCCCTCCGCCCTTGGCTCGCCGATCTTCAAGGCTCCGCCAGGTCCGCCTCCGAGCACCGGCGACCTGCGTTTGCGACCGGAGTTCGCTCTTGGGCAATCATTACAGGAGCTCGGAACCGAAGTCTAAGAAGCCGAAATGTCTGCCCGGCTCCTACTCATCAGCGCACCATTGGTGGCGCACCGATAGACCTTCCGGTTTCCTTTTCGAAGCCGCTAATGGTCTCGCGATACTTGCCTCGCTTCGTTAGCTTAGATGCGTCGGATGTAAACGTCGATCCGCAATTTATCTGGAAGGGGGAAGAATTCCTTTCTGCGTTTTGTGAAACGGTCGCGCTAACGCAGCTTCGGAAGACAGACGCGACATTTTAAGCTTTCTGGTGGGAAGGGTGCTGGCAGAGAACTGGTCACACCCACCCTGCAAGGCAGGCCGGTTTGTTTCTCCCGCTTCGGAGAAGGGGAGACTAAGCAGGCCTCCGTGTTAGTTCGTAACAGCCTGATTGATCTCTGCAAATAACTGGTAGACAGTGCGGTGTAGCGGTTAGAGGACTGGGCAACGATCTTGGAAACCCGTAGACTGAAATCCCCACCCTGCCAGGAAGCTCACTGAGCGATGTGATTTTGGACCTTTTAACTGTATTTTGAACCTAGGTCACAGAGTTGGTACAAGGGTAAAAACACGAAGGGAAACCTGTGTAAGGTGTCCAGACATCTTTGGGAAAGAGGCAGAATGAAAATCAAATCTGTCACCCCAACAAGCCTTGCAGCATCTTAAAAAGTGATTCAGTACAAAAAGTACTTAAGTACTATATATTGGCCCCGGTCACACGGCAAAGTTGCCACGGGAGAGGCACGGATGGTGGGCGGATTATCTGGCGCGATCACACCCCAACATCTGGGAAGTGGAGCGCACCAGTGGCTTACCGCCGACAATGTGCGTTAAAAAACTAGTACCTCCAAGGTACTAGTAAACGTTTGCCACGGGCTGCCTCCAGACGCCTGTGGTGTGATCGTGCCGGCGCGCGGCATTCCCCTCCGGTCCCTTGTTTACCCGCTGGTGCCGAGGGGAGGACCTGTGGTGTGCTGCCAGCGCGTCTGATCGCGTAATCGCGGATCAAACTGCGCCGGGGCAATTAGCCACACACACACACCCCGCGCGCGATATCCGGCCCATGTAACCAGGGCCTGAGATGAGTTAATCTGTTGCAGAAAAATAAACAGGAGCCTTGGGGCACTATGAAGACTTAAAATTGTATTACAGTATATGCTTTTGTGGACTAGAACAACTTTTTCAGATGCAATTAATGGATTCACACTATGCAGTTTATAACCTGGGCCCACTTATTACATCTGCAAAAGCGGGCTCTAATCCACAGAAGTGGATGGTGGAATACAATTTTGCCAGCTTTTTAGGCTGACAAATAATGCAACTACTACAGCCTTCTTTGGTATAACCTATCTGGGTTCAGAATCTTAGTTTTCTCTGCAGCAAGACAATGCAGATGAAGATCCGTTAGCTTTGTTGGCCCCTTCCCAGAACCTGACCTTCATACTCTTCTGCAGGGTTCACTTCCTGCCTTTCAGCCAGCTCATCCTTCTGAGCAAAGGACTCTCCACACCTTCTCTTACTGTAAGCAGGCTCCTGCTAAAGTTCCCCCACACAGGCATTGTGTCCAGAGAGCAAGGCCCTTTTGCTCTCAAGTGGACAGCATACTCCACCAGGCATAGAAGAGGTGGATTTATACCCCGCCCTTCACTTGGAGTCTCAGAGTGGCTTACAATTTCCTTCCCTTCCTCTCCCCACGACAGACACCCTGTGAGGTAGGTGGGGCTGAGAGAGCTCTCTTGAAAACTGCCCTTGAGAGAACTGTGACTGCATACGGAGGAGTGGGGAATCAAACCCGATTCTCCAGATTAGAGTCCAATGCTCTTAACCACAATGGATTGCCATAACCAACACACCAAACTGGCTCTATTGCTCCATTGCTGCCTCCCCACTCCATATTGTTTTTTGCTATTAGAATTTTCCAAATGGAAAGCAAGAGTGTGTGTATAGAACTCCATAGAATACTCCCATATAAGTGTGCATTCCCACACTCTCCATTTGAAACTGTGCCACGAACCTCAACACTGCCTTTCATTGGTAGCAGCCAAGTCAGCAGGCGTGGCATCTCCACTTCCTCCTTATACTGCCTCTTCTTTTTTTGCCACAATGAAGCAGAAAATTTTGTTAGGATGCTACCACCTTTAGTAGTAACCCTATACCCAGGCGCTGGCAAGATTCTACTGTTGCTTCAACTGGAGGTGGCCTTGCCCTGGGCATTTGGGGGCAAGTTAAGGTGTGCCTGGAACCACTCATCAGCTAACTCTATGGTTTGATCCCTGTTTTCTCTGTATTTGTAAGGAGAAATCTTCGGGACACAGTGGACAGTATAAACCAGCTCCTCTGATGGCTGTCATTGCCAGTGGGAAGAAGGGGCGGGCTACCTAAAATCCCAGTTGTCCCCCTGACCAAGATTTGTGGATTGCAGTGGTGTGGGGGCTTGCTGTGTGGCAAGTTGCTTCTGACCTACGGCTACCTTATGAATTAATGACCTCCGAAGTGTCCTATTGTTTACAGCCTTGCTCAGGTCTTGCAAACTGAGGGCCTTTGTGGCTTCCTTTAGTCCTTCCATCTCATGTTGGGTCTCCCTGTTTTCCTGCTGCCTTCAACTTTTCCTAGCATGATTGTCTTTTCCAGTGAGTCTTGTCTTCTCATAATGTGACCAAAAGGATGATAGCCTCAGTGTAGTCGCTTTAGGTTCTAGGGAAAGTTCAGGTTTGATTTGATCTAGAACCACCTATTTGTCTTTTTGGTGGCCCATGGTATCCATAAATCTCTCCTCCAACGCGACGCCCCAAGATTCACCAGTTAGGCAATGCGTGGCTTCAGTTACACCTGGCCACCACAATGGATTGCCGTAACAGTGCTGGAGTTACACTTCACATACCCCAGAAGGCACCAGAGAGCAACCATTTGGCTCCAGAACACATCATGGCCAGCAGGGTGCACCAGAGACGTGTTGAAAAGGCTGCAATAACCGCAAAGAGAACTGCGATTCTCACATGGGTTTACATTTGGACCTCGCTGGACTCCTTGTTTTTTCAAATGAGATGATGACCCTCCATTATTCGTTTCTTCTTCCCAGAATGCAATTGCCGGAACGCAATCAAACTGTTTGCCTGCCAGCATCCAACATCAAAGGCTGGCATAACGGTCATGAGCTGGATAGCCCAGGCTAGCCCAATCCCACCAGAGCTTGGAAGTTAAGCAGGGTCGGCCTTGGCCAATATTAGGATGGGAGACCACCAAGGAATACCAGGGTCACGATATGGAGGTAGGCAATGACAAACCACCTGCTTTTACCCTCCATTTAATTTTTTTTTCGTAACATCTACCTGATGAAGGGTTCTACAGCACTCAAAAACTTGCACACTATTTTGTGTCATTTGGGTTGGCCTGAATAAAAGAGATGACATGGCAGTAACCAAACCCTCCCACTTCCCCCAGTAACTTTGCACTGCGCCAAAACTGAAGCTTGTCAGCTGGGGGGGACATCAGGTGCAAAAAAATCTATGCCTCTCACTAGTTTCAGTGAGAAACCTGAGCTTGGGCAGCTTTGGGGACCCAGATGAGAACAAGATACCAAATTCATATGCCAATGAAAGGAGATGCTTTACTATTACTGGGGGCAGGATTTCAGCCTTTGCATGCATGTTTTAAGATTGGGAAATTCCTGGAAATTTGGGGGGTGAGGGTGGGGGTAGAACCAGGGGATGAGAGAAACCTCAGCAGGGTATAATTCCATAGAGGCCAGCCTCCAAAGCAGACATTTTCTCCAGAGGAACTGAGCTCTAGTCTGGAAATCAGTTGTAATTCCAGGAGATGGCCAAGCAAAGAGATGGATTAAAAATTCTTGGAGAGGTACTTTGGGGAGGAAGCGCTAGAGGAAACTTGGGTGGTGGCAGTGCTCCTGGGCATGCTTACTCAGAACTCTCTTAATTAATAAATCTTGCTTCCTAGTAACTCTGCAGCCTGAGTTCTATAGTTCTGTACTTGGAGGCAAGACAGATTTTAATTCCTGAAAGGGTAACAGAGCTGTGAGCCAGCCCTGCCCTTTGCTCTCGAAGCCTTTTCTGTTCCATTTCTGCCTGGGAAGAGGAGAAGACGTGCTCATGGGAAAGTGAAAGGCATTTTGCCTGTACTCCAAGGCAACTGCAGTACATCTCCCTGCTAATTTCTAGAATCAACAACTTGCTACTAAACCCGGGGCAGGGCCCTTGAGACTGAAAGTGGAAGAGTAATACAGTTAGGCATGCCTGCTGCAGACATTCATTGGGTGCTAGGGCTGCCAACCTCCAGGTGGTGGCTGGAGATCTGCTATTACAACTGATCTTCAGGAGACATATCAGTCCACCTGGATAAAATGGCTGATTTGGAAGTTGGCCTCTATGGCATTATACCCCAAAGTCCCCCCTCCCCAAGCTCCGCCCCCCCCCCAAATATGCAGATATTTCCCAACCTGTCCTGGAGGTGGCAACCCTATCGGGGCCGTGTGTAACAAGTATTTGGCACAGACACAATGTATAGCTTAAAGACCAAGCATAGTATGGGTGCATTAGATGGAATTTCTAAGGGAGCAAACTATTAGAAACACGTACGACGAGGCAGATGTTAACCCATGGCTTACTTTTATCAATTCCATGCTCAGTGACACATGGGTTTGTTTGCAAGTGTCTTATGTCTTCTCTTACAGTAATTTTTTAATCCTAGAATCAGTTTAAGAAAGAGCAAGGAAGGTTTGTTTTCCACCATTAGCTCTCCAGAACACAGATGCCCGGTTCTGCCTCCCGTTGCACCCAAGACTGCAATCTGCAGAATAAATATTTTGCTTAGAGTTTAGCTGCTATTCCAATTAAGATGATGGACTAGTTAATTAACTAGATTGTTGCTGCCTATTATGGCAATATTCACATAGAAGGGAATTTGGCCAATGGGATTAACTGAATCCAAATGTTTGGCGACAACTAGGGCTCACCCGGCTAACTTTTTTTGTT